CTATCTATCTATCTATCTATCTATCTATCTATCTATCTATCTATCTATCTATCTACCTACCTATCTATCTATCTATCTATCTATCTATCTATCTATCTATCTATCTATCTTTCTTTCTTTCTTCCTAATATCACATAAAGGATACAGATAGGAGAGAAAAAGGGAATTAGTCGGGGAGTTGGGAGGGGGTGGGGTGTGTGATAGAAGTTTGCCCCTCCCCACCTTCACCCCCGTTGCCCCGCTGAAGACAGCAAGAAACAGGAGCCGAGACAGAAGCGGCTTAGCCCCATGGCCATAACCTCTGTCGTACAACGGTTATCTCGTCGAAGACGAGAGTTAGGTTTCGCCTGTTTGTAGCCTCATCGGCACTTGTGTCTTCGTCGTGTTTGGACGCAGCAGCGGGTGTGAATCACAGACTGTTTATCTGACGTTCTTGGGGTTTCGATCGGGTACGGGAATTTTGGATTCAGTTTATGTCACAGTATTGCGTTCCCCTAGTGTTCCCGAGAAAGAGTCCTATTTCGAAGAGAGTTATTTTTATGGACATTTACATGACTTATTTTTTACGGACCGTCTTGTCTTCGATAAAAACAAGTCTCGTTTTAAAAAAGGCGTTGTAGTTCTTTCTTCTGCGTCCGTGTACCAAATGAAAGCACACAAAAATTTGACAAATTGTTTAAGTATGACGTGTTCTGTCTCGGATCCACCAGCAACATGTTTGAATGTCTTACTCTCTGGGGAGTGGAAATTACATACGGCTATTGAAAATGATTAGTTACGCAGTGCTTAGGAAGTGGAGTGTTTGTTGTTGGGTTTTTTCATCAGATCTGTTTGGGATCAACGTTCTCAAAATGTAAAGGTGTAAAGTTCACTTTCAAAGTGGAATTATTATTTGTATTCTCTTTAAACGAATCCTGTGGATTTCATTTTAATGTGAGCTGATTCGACACGAAATTTCATTGAAAAGAAGTAGTCGTCAATTTAATCAAGGTGTTCTTAAACCGTACTAACTAAACTTTCCAGAGCTGACAAGTTTGTTTGTTTTATCCTTCTTCACTTTAGCTAGCTCAGTTGTATTATGTCTCGACTTGGTCTAATAAAAAGACAAGCAGTTATGTGAGATAAAATTAGCTCACGAACTGTCGTGACAAGAAAAAGAACAACGACAGTTTATGCTAACAGGCGGTGTACGAATGATGCAAGACGTCCAATGGGACGACGATGCATTATCCAAAAACAACGAGCTCGCAGCCGCTCTCACTCTACGCCGCTTCCTCTCCCCATGCATACATTACTCTCTTGGCTTCTCTGTAGAAAAACGCTCTTTTTCCGCTGCCGTGTCCCCTTTTTTCACAACCCCTTATACCCCACCCCTTCCCTTACCGTTTTGTTTTTTTACTGCCATTAGGGTAAGAAATATTTTCAGCTTGAATCCTTTTTTGTAGAACATTATACTCCGGCACCAGCAATGCCAACAGACATAGCTCCAAATATCGTGGGTGTTCGGGGAGAGATAAGAAGAAGAAAAATCCGACAAGGAACGAAAAAAAAATCGGTTGTCTGGGGTAAGTGTGGGTGGATTGGGGTGGGGGGGGGGGCTCACACGGAAAGATAATAAGCCCTCACAAAAACGAAATGAATGAGCGTCGATTGTAAAAATTCGGTTGAGACAGAGCGACGGCCTTCCGTGGCATCGCATATTTAACGTGGCGTGCCATTCCGTGGCAGCCACTTTGGAGAAATTGGCCTAGGGCTGGCACAATATAAGACGCTCGGTTTGGCAGCAGCAATCATATTATTGTGAGACACTCTCTATTAGTGTGTGCCAATTGGATTTTGTTTGTTTCTAGTGCACTTTGTGTCTGGGCTGATTTCTGTGTCGTTTCCAAAGTATTGACATTTGCATGACTAGCCTATACGGCATTTATAAAGTTAGTGTAAGTGATATTTTTCTAAGATTGTTCGATTATTGCCTGAAGTAATTGTTTTTTTCTTTACATTCTGCGATAATTGAGATGGGTTCATAT